ACACATCCAAACAGGATACTGAGAAAGAGCTAAGCAGAGCTGTGGCCCTGTCATACTTTGGCTAAAGCTAAACATCCTCTAGGTGTTTTCTGCTTGGGTATTTAGTGTTGCAGACTGGTCTTCCCTTGAGCCTAAGTAGAAAGTCTCTCCTCTTATCCCTCAGTTCACACAGCAGAGAAGTCATTGATGTCAGTCATCCTGAGAAGTGCTATTACTAGGTTATGCTAGGAAAAAAAGGTAACATGAAGAGCTTTCAGTAAAGCTGTGTTCATGCTTCTGCACAGACAGTACTGCACATGTCCCTGCAGCAGAAAGTCAAACTGCAGCACTTCCACTCAGCTGGGCTCCTCCAAATGCAGCAAGTGGAGCAGGGAACACCAAGCTCTCTCATGTCAATGGAAAGCTGTACCTTGTCTGGACAGGCAAGTTAAACAGCAGCATGGACGTGGGCAGTCATGTCACTTGTGTCTGCTAGTCCAGGTTCATGCTGCCTGGCAAACCACTGCTCTGCTTTTATCATGTATCTGGCAGCAGTTCCTACTTCAGCATATGGTATTTCCATATTAGGCATCAAAACTCTGAAAAGTTATTTCTTACCCTTTCTTTAGAAGAAAGCAGCGGGTGCAGAAATTTTCTGTACATTAAGCTTGCCCCTCTAGTATATGGGGAAAGGAGCCAGATAACGAAAGCTATCTTCAGTTCATAGTACAGTGGGAACCTACAGACAAGGCAAAGGTTGCACAAAATCAACAGCTGCAGACAGAAAATGCACAGCAATTAATCATCAAGAGATCTTTTCAAAAAACACCATGACATATTAGCATATAGGATTCTTCAGATACGAGAAGTTACATTAGACAAAACCTGAGTTATAAATCTATGGCTTTAATTTGTTTAATTGTCTACTGTCATTCAAGAAATGAACACCATTAATATATTTGCTTTGCATTATACATGCTTGTCCAGAGAAATCATAGTCCATCCTTTTAGGAGTTCCATTCCCCTATTCAGTTTCTGCAGCAAAGGTGGAAGTGTTACAGTCCCTACTTTGAGACACAGTGTACAGCGAAAGTGAAAACAGATGCTGTTCTTCACATGCAGAGATCTTTGTCTGGAAAAAAAGGCTATCAACGAGCACAACTTTTTCTTAAAAAATGAATCATTACAAATCAAAGAATAGCAGAAAGAAATATTCGTTTCATGGAGATTTCATAAAAACCAAAGACTCTTACCAAGATACTGTTAGGTCAGTTATTGTTTCAGTAACGGTGTAAAGAGCAAACACAATCCAATACATCATCCAGCGAACCTGAAAATTAAAACGCCATCCTCAGTAAGGACTTTGATTTCACCTTTACACAGACTACACTGTACACACTACAGTCAGTTCAGAGCTGGCAAAGCAAGGCATTCAGCAGAGTCTCAGCCTGCACAAACAAGGTTTCCAGTGAAATTGTATGAAGGTCCTGAAAGATTTCTGTTCCTAAGTAGAACTGGTGGCAGCTGCAACAAGCTCAGTGAAATGGCTGGGTCACCAGGGTCACAACGTCAACAAGGCTTGTCTCACAGAATTGCTTCTGCCTCTGCAAAGCTTTAGTGATAAGAAAAATACCCTGTCAAGAGATTATCCTAAGTATGAAGTTCATTTCCCACCATAGCACTAAGGGATATTTCATTCTCTCCCTCGCTCATCCATATGTCTATATCACACACACACACAAGTCAGCATTAGTGAAGTAGCCCTTGCTTCCATCCCATAATACATGTTATTATACTTTACATGTGTGCTGAACACAATGGTATTAACACTGAGGCAAGGCAACAAAAAAGTACTGCCATGGAAATTTTATTCTATTTCTATGCTGAGAACCACAAAATTCTTGTTAATAAAAAGGCTTACAGGTAAGCATCTTATTGCTTTAGGAGTTTACAGCTACATACTTTTTTAGTTTGCTCTAAGGTTGACACTACATATCATTGCTTTGAAATCAGACAGTGCTCTACAGTGTTAGTTCTGTTCTATAACAGTTAACTCAATCACTCTTTTTTTCAACATTTGTTCAAATTTGGTCGTCTAAGATGATTACATCTTTCAGATTAAATACTATTGGCGTAGTTCCATGCATTTGTCTTCTCTATCAGCTGCTAAATGCAATGTATTTCCAAAATAGGTCAGTGCAAACCACCACTGGTTATTTGGACTAACTGAACACCCACACGGTCTTTAAATTCCAATGCTGTCTATGCTGAGGGGGGCAAAGGGGGAACCTACAACAAAACAGCTTAAAAAAAAAGAAAAAAGAAAAAAGAAAAAAGAGAGAGGAAAAGCATCACCCACTACCAGATGCAATAATTACCATCCCTGGAGGTTTTCAAGCTGAGACTGGATGTGGCACTTAGTGCTATGGTCTGGTAACCACGGTAGGGTTGGACTCGATGATCTTTGAGGTATTTTCCAACCCGACTGATTCTATGATTTGCAATACACAGACTACTAACTCTTCTGGTACACCCACAAAGCAGTAAACACCACAATTGTTACAGACTAGTTCAAGCCCCAAACTCATGGTGTTGTTTTCCAAAAGGAGAAATATATATACTTTCCCACAGAGGATGTGGCTCCGATTTAATCTTCACTTTTAAAGCAATCTTTTCTTAGAGTCGACTTATTTAAGTTCTCAAAATCTAATCGTGCACCGCTCCCTGTTTGATGGGTGTGCATTGCAATTTAAAGCCACTTCCTTTGTCACAACTCCCCATTGATCTTAAACGCTTTTCTGCATTTCAATTTGAAAAGAAACTCAGTCATGTGATGACATTCTTCACTTCAGTCTCTCAGAGGATTTAGGTATTTCAGGCTTGAATAAACCAAGACAAACCTAAACAACAGCTGAAATCATAGCTGACAGGCCATGGGATGTTTGGGCTGGTGACCCTTCCATGAACCAGAGTCAACACCTGAATAAAAATCAAATCCAGCCTTGCCCCATCAACCTAAGCATAATGCAAAGTAACTTTAAAGAGGCCAAACAAGACTTAACTTTTTCCCCAGTATCTTTTATCCAGGCTGTTCTTTCTTTAATCAACATCTATCTATCCAATTAGGACCAACAGCAGAAGTGGAATGGAGCTGCTAGGAACAGGGATAAGTGCTCTGCAGAAGAGCAGATGAGATCTGCCAGGAGTCCTGCTGAGGTCTGGGCAGGGATTCTACAAAACACAAATCACATTCTAGTACAACTAAGGCACCAGGTACCAAGAGTATTCTTGACAAACGAACCTGAGCGACAGAGTGGTTTTCATACCACAAAAAAAAGAACATGAAAAAAAGCTCAGATTTTACACTACCCCGAAGACTATCATCTACTTAGCTCTTAAAGATGAAGTTACAGAAACGGTGATTGAGTTTTGATTTTTATGCTAATAGGGTGATTACAGCTTTGTTTTGTTGAGGGTTTTTTTCTGCCAACCAAGTGTTAAGCTCATCTTTGTTGGCTGTGGCTGAAACACATTCTTTAAAGCCAGGATTTCAGCAGACTGGACTGTTCAGACTTCTAAACTACATTTCAGATGCTTATTACAAGCACTTTGGTCTAATACAGTGAAAAAGCTTCTCAAATATCTTAGTCAACTCCAATAAACCAGGGTAATTACAAGAACAAATAAATCTCCTCCAAGGCACAGATCCTAATTTCTAGCACTAAAGTCCATAAGTCTTCTAAATTACCACAATCAGCACAACGCTTTTTATCCCCCAGAGATAATCTTGGACAATTTGCTGCATCATGACCTACACAACAAGTCAAGATATGTGTTCTTTTTGTTTGTTTTTTACTGGTAGAAGCACTGGCTGAGTAAAAAATGGCACTGTTACAAACCCCTTGCAATCCAGGAACACACATAGATGGCTCCTGAGCCACATATGACCCTGGAAAGGAACTTGCACTTGGGCCATTCTGTGACTGATAGCAGACCCATTGGGAAGGTTGCAGTTAAACCTACACTCTCTCTGTGAAAGCAAATGACCCAGCTGGGAAAATGACAGCGATGGATCATCCCAAAGACCCATCTGGACACTCAGCCCAACCAGCAATGGAGTGATTCACTGATGAATCAAAGTCATTCCCTGCAAATGACTGTGATGAGTCTCATTCACCTTGGCTCCATGAACATTTTGTATGCAACTGCAAGTTCCGGGACTGCTCAAAGACCACAGGTTCACAGTAAAGAAAATACAGAGTTGGAAAAACACAATTCCAGGCCTTCTAGGAGGATCCTGTGTAAATGACAGGTATCTCTAAAAATAAGATGCCCAAGAAGGACAACTAAGATGAGCAAAGGATCTCAGCATTCTGCAAACATTGCTTCTCTTTTTCTAGAAAACATGTTGCATGAGGCAATGGTAACCTCTTGAAATAAAGTGATTTCTTTTATTTGAGTTTGAAATTGCTATCCCTTACTTAGCCTTTTGAAGGAGAAGGGAGGAAAAGCAGATTATAGATTATCTGTATTATATACTTCCCTGACAGGGTAAAGTAAGCAGGAGATGAAGGAATTCTCCTCTTATTTTTGATGATATTTCTCCTCCCATAAGCTTAGCTCTGGCATGCACAAATAAGCTCTAATCACTTTCCTCACAGAAACTAGAAGCAGTACAAATATGATGTCCACTTTGGAGCCTTGAAGAAGTGATCAGACTAAATTAAGACATTCAAGAGGAGGAACAACAGCCACTGCGTCCTACTACTCCACCCAAGTACCAAGTGGAGAGATCACACATCCAGACAGCAGCCTTAGGTCACAGCTATGCCTGTGAGGGAGTGACTGATGGCACTCACTCCACCCTGAGTCAGGCAGCCAAGTTAGGAACAGGATTCAGGACAGAGCACAGGTTTGTTGCTGAAATCAAGTTAGGCTGTCTCTTAGAACAGGGAAGTAACTCGGTGACCAAAGCTCCTTGTGACCTCCGCTGAGTAACATTCCTGTGGTTAGCATCACTGCTCACAATGACGAGTAATTAATTTAATAGCTTAATTCAAAACTGCAGGAACTATGGTTGTCTTTTTCCTCCATCTTTCTCTTCTGTCTGTTCTGCTTTTCTCCACGTCACATTAACCAAATCTTTTCCTTCCCTGCTTAGTTTTTTTCCTCTTTGAGGAACAATAGGTGAATGAGAGTTACCCTTTTCTCAGGTAGATTTTTGAATCCCCTGTTGAGCTCCATATAAGGACAATTAAGCTGCTGCTACTCTTCTCTCTGGTCACTGAGAATCAATTTGCCATTGATTATACTTCGGGTGTTGGCAGAGTTAGGAAACTTCTGTTCTACCTCCTGCCCAGAAGTGCATTATTTGGGACACTTTGCTGAAATGCAGACAAGACTTTCAGATTTATGTTAAAAATTCTCCTAAAAACATCCATTTACAGCAGAGCATGCTGGACGTGTTTCAGCATGATGCCATGAAACATCTGAGACACCTTAATTTTAGCCCTCCAAACAAAATCACAGGGTTAGCACTAGGTTCACACAGGTGTTATACCTAACACTAAGCCAGTCAAATCAAGCTTTCGTATGATTTATTTACTGCATAATGAGAAGGTCAGATGTATGACTGCAGAAGAATGCAATTAAGCAATTAAAAAGAATGAGACTTACATATTCTTTCACATTTTTTGTCTTCACAGCTTTGTATGAGTAATATGCAGGATACAACATCCCAAACAGCAGCCTATGGGAAAACAAAAAGAGCTTTCAGGATCTGTTATATTGGACGTGACAAAACAGTGACAATACACCATCAGAGCAGTGCAGCCAACCTTATAAAAAATCCTGTTCTCTAGCTTGAAAAACAAACCCCACAATGTTATTGGTTCCTTGGAGGAAGTTCTGCGATACACAAAGCTAGAACAACGTGAACAGAATAGGCTGAATGGCCTGAAGACAGCACACTGTGAGACTGCCTCTAACAGATAATGTAAAACCAGCAGTTGTTCTGGTTCAGCTACAAGTCAAACCAGTTCTGCAGTCTGTCCACACCAAAACACTGTTTCCACACCGGCAGTGCTAGTACACTTCAAGAGCCTCTAAAACCATCAGTAGGTAATCAGAATCATCGACCAGATTACCAGAGAATTCTTCAAAAGCAATTTTAAGACATGATGAATGACATAATACCTCTCCTTTTGCTAGGACTCTGTAACAGCAACACTTGGAAATGGAGGCAAGTGGGAATGAATCCAGTTTTGCTCAGCCAATTGCTGCTGCAATTCATCCAAAGCAGGGTGCAGAGCAGGGTGAGAGGGTGCCAAGGAATTTATGCTGAGTAGCTTCAGAACAAAGATCTGCTCTAACACAACTTGGTCACAACACAGCATTTTCTACTAAGAGACTTGGCCACAGCCTAGTGAAACAGATCTTTAGGAGAAATGGAACAGCAGTAGTTGCCACCTCCTTGACAAATGCAAGAGCTCGGTATTTTTATTTCACCACCTTGTAAAGTCAAGCAATCAGCTGTCCTGAAGTTCCAGCTAGCCTAAAGCAGCCATTACAGAAAGGTCTGGCTCCATCTCTGCAGCTTCACTTACAGCTTGCTCAGGGTGGCTACTGTGAGAAATTTACACCCGTAGGGATATCCAGACATCTTCTAAGGAAGTTC